TATAGCGAGGGTGACATAAATGACAAAGTTACAGAGTGATCAAAGTGACAGACTTCTGCTGTAGGTCACTGATTTACTATTGCCGCTGCTGTGTATGCTCACTTGTCCCGCTGCTGTGTATGGCTCACTTGTCCCGCGGCTTGTGTTATTATGCAGATTCACTTGTCACGCTGCTGTGTAGTCTCACTTGTCGCGCTGCTGTGAATGCTCACTTTCGCCCGCTGCTGTGTATGCTCACTTAGTTGTTGGCGTGACAAGAACATCTGTCGGCATGTGGGAGCGGGGAAGGGGAAGAAAAAAAACCACAAAAGTACAAAAGTACAAGCATTTCGCTCTTCATCTTGCAGGGATAGGAAGCTGTCTTTCGTGGAAGGGATACTGCCGTCACCATCAGTTTCGCACTCGATGGCTGTCGCACTTGGAACCCGATCGACAGCATACGGTATACTCCATGCTAACTAATGCCCAAATTATATCAGTCAATGCTATTATAATTAATATAATTTATTAATTAATATAATATAAATAATTATGCTCAGTATTATCGATACAACCATAAACAATAAATATGCTGTAAACTAATATATACCTAAATATAAAATTATTAATATAATCAATATACCAAATACCCCAAATAACAGAACTTTGAGGTGGTTGGAATAGCAAATTGACTATTGCTTCATTACAGATCATAACCAGCCCTGGCACCTTGCCAGAAGCTAGCATATGAGACAAGCAAAGACAATATACAAATGAAGACTTCCTTATTACTACAAACACTTGTGTATATATATATATATATTATATATATATAATATATATATATAAAGATATAAGTGGTTTAAAAAGTGAAATCGAAATTGCTCGCTACCTGCGTCGTCTGCTAGGCGCATAGCCTCACGTTGATTCCATGTTGCAGGTGTTACTGTTTAGTCTTCTATTCCATCCCCGGTATTTCGACCGTAGGTTGAGTCCGTATGGTTGGATGGTGTTTAGATCTTGGATCCATAGGCCTTCTCTTTCTCTTTCTGTTGCGATCGCTGCGTGATGTTCGGTGGGTCGCAGAATATTTTTTTCAAGCCCCTATCACTGAAAATCGACTGCGGGTTGGTTGCGATCGCGTGTAAAATGAGCACTGTGGCGTTACTCGTCAAACCCTTTGTGCGGTTTCTTGTTGAGATTAATCTGGGATGGAAGACGTGCAGAGGCTAGTCATTATAGCGGTGCACCGCCCTTTAGGGTGGACCCTATAACTTGCGCGGCTGACATGACTGGCGAGTTTTCTGTAGTTCTTTTTCTCTTTTGACGTGTTGCGCGCGAAGAGTGGAATATTAATCGCTGACTCCCCTTGCGTTTTGGGGAGGGTAAGTCTAAAATTCCATAAGTGTTGTGATAAGGGGGCTGCTGTACCCGGCATCCTGGGATACTGGCCGCCTGGTCTGGTTGAAATTTAAGCGACATGTATGGAAGACAGAGCCTGGACGCCTCTACGCGGGCACAGTCGCGATGTGCTACCCCACGGGATTTAGCTTGGTTTGTTGTTGCCATATAATGGTTATAAAAAACAAAAAAAAATTTGTAAAAAAGTTTTGTTAAGAAATTGCTACACTAAATTAGCAATTTCTTAAACAAAACTTTTTTTACAAATTTTTTTTGTTTTTTATAACAATTATATATGGTCAACACAAACAAGCTTAAATCCCCGTGGCGATAGCACAGTCGAGCTGCTGCATACACAGCAGCGCGACAAGTGAGCATACACAGCAGCGCGACAAGTGAGCATACACAGCAGCGCGACAATCAGTAAATCAGTGACTACAGCAGAGTCTGTCACTTTGTCACTCTGTAACTTTGTCATTATGTCACCCATGCTATACTCTGTAAGTAATCCACTCTGTCACTTTGTCATTCTGTCACCCATCTTACTCTGTCACTCACCAAGAGCAAACTGAACGGTCGTTGCAGATGTTGCATTGATCGGTCGACTCGTCTGTAATACAACAAAACAACAATGACAATAAATCTATCGTCAATTTTTCATTATGTGTGAACAAGTAAACAACCTCAGAACCGCATAACATCATAAAGACGACTCTTCAAAGTCCAAGTGACTATATATCGAAGACGGAGAGAGACGAAGTTGATCAACACTAAATTTGTCGATAATCTTTCATTGAGCGAACAAGTAATTAATAACAGTAAGATTACAGCAAATACAGCAACAAACAAACAATACGTTTATCAATATTTTTTTATTTAACGTGAAATTGAAATCCTTCGTTTACTGCTGCGTCTGCTGAACATTTTGAGAATAATATGTGTACTACTCACGAGTGAGCCTCCATCCTTGCTGCAGAATACTGCAGCATTCGCACTCAAGATGGCGCCACATGTCGATCCTATCTCGCCCCCTGTAACACTGTCCCTATATTGATATAAATATGCCATGATTTAGATGATATTCAAGACATCCATATCAAGGATTTATATCATGTCATTCAAATGTGTTATGCTCACCCCTGAATAATGCGCACTCATTTCAAATTATGCTAAAGCAACGTGCAGCCAAAACAATTAGTATAGTGTGGATGAAGTAGAAATGATGATTTCGTGTAGTTAATTAAAGCAGCTTGCCAGACAGAGCTGTCCTCGGATGTGTCACTGTCAAAGTTGTCGCGGAGGATGACGTGATGTCTCTCGAGGCCTCCCACGTCCGGTCCATACGATCGGCTCACGTTCACGACTGAAACGGATGATATGCTATAAATGATATGACACCAATATGCTATTATATGCCAATAATATGCTGTTAATTATATGGTATCAATATGCGATTAATTATATGGTATCAATATGCTATTAATTATATACCATCAATATATGCTATTGTATGCCATCAATATATGCTATTAATTATATGCAATCAATATTCTTTTATCTATACATCATTGATATGTTATTATAGTGTAATATAATACTAATATATACTGTAAAATATACGTTATCGATTTGCTATTAATTAGATCATTATTAATAGTAGGAATTAAGGGGATGTCTTGGAGGAGGAAGAGGAGGGGAAAGGGAGGAAGTCATATACCTGCTTGTTCACAAATCTGCATGACAAGAGTGTCCTTCAAGATAATTTGCCCTCGTAGAGATGAAGTGGCACTGTAAAACGAAAACCAACAATGGTTACCGTAGTTCCTAATTCGTATGATCTAGATATACAAAGGCCTGACTACCTTCACTACCTACCTACTCTTTCAATGTCACAACTCACCCATACAAATATTCGCTGGCCTACCCACATAGAGAGCTGCTTATCTTATAGTTTACTAAATGATTGAATGGTGTAACGAATTTAAATATATTCAAATCTTTCATTTTTTCATGTTCAAATTGAATAGCTTTCACTCGTCCATAATTAATGCCACCCAAATACGTGCGGCTTTAATTTGCATTACTCGCTTTATTCTACGACTAACGCTTTTTAAACCAAACAGGGAGATATAGTGAGTGAAGGGCATGTTTGAAAGGCAGAACCGCTTTTCCGGCAACGACCGCATCTCTCCAAACTGCAATTCATGGAAGCTGTCTGCATGCGTCGCAACGGCAGCAGCGGAATAAAAACAGCGATCATCAATCCAGGTCTCCCGCGGGAGCTCACCCGACACCAGCACCCTCATAAGAAGTTCTTTGCAACGCGGTATATCGCCCGCACACCGCTACCTCATGCATCACAAACCCCTCACACAAACTTCGGTTCGGGTGCAGTGGAAACAGCAGATAGCTTAGCTGTCCCTAGAGGGACAGGAACGCATCCGTGTGCAAAACCGCGTGGAAATAACAACAGGTTGCGCGTAGAGCAAAAACATATATCCCGCATAGCCGCGAGTGGATGGAAGCGGAAAGCGTTTCTTAGACGTTGCACTGTATCTGTAGTAGATAATAGGTAACCTTCCCTATTATTTGCTTCTGACTGTATGTTACACGTATATTGTTCGTATGTGGTCATGCTAGCTACTATCTACAAAAGTTCTTATTCTCTTCTTCCAAAGAGCTGCCGGCATAGACTGAGCACGTCATAACGGCTTTTAACAAACGCACAGAATCCGATCATATAGAATAAAATACAAATGCATCGCAAGCGATTATAAAGCTGTAGTGTTATCGTTATCAACCTTACAAATTGGCATGCTACGCCAACTACCGAGTGGAAGGACCCCTGGTTACGTTTACACAGCAAAAAAATACCAATCCTAACAGCATTGCCTGTTGTAACAGGGCATGCGCTGATCGATTAAACTTAGATCGAATCAGGTCGAAGCTAGGGTCAATTAATATGCCCAACGGTTTTCCTCATGCGACCAAGCACACTCCAGCTTTAAATCTCTCCAGCGCGAAAAAAAAACGCGCAAAAACGCGTAAAAAACGCACTCTCCCGCGCGTAAAAAACGTCCGCTCACAGAAAATCCATGCATCCGGCGCCGGCAGGTGGCGCCTGCCACATGAAGCTCATCTGCTTCTGTGGCGCCCCCGTGTGTGAGGCCGTGACGGAGCAGACGAAAGGTTGGAGCGCGAACGGCGCGTGCGCGCCGGCCGCCATCGCATGGTAGGCTCCGAACGCAGCCTGCTGCTGCTGCTGCTGCTGCTGCATCGGTGCGCTGGACACGGCAGCCGGCAGACTGTAGAGACCCATCATGACAAATGCGTCAAAGTCTATGCTCGACTTCACGCTCACTATAGAGGAAAGACAAACGCACAGGTTAGGGCAGGGGTTCTTAGCCTGTGGTCCATGAACCCCTTTCGGGTCCGTGGATGTGCTTCAGTGCTTATATGCTTATTGCATTTTCTGGGGAGGGGTCCGTGGCTTTCACCAGATTCTCAAAGGGGTCCATGACTCAAAAAAGGTTAAGAACCACCGGGTTAGGGTTTCGCGGCAATGCGGTAAAGGAGAAAGATGCTCGCTACGGAGCGATGAAGCTGCCAGCTATATATACGTCTCACATGAAACGCCGTAAAGTGCGCCCAGCGACCGCAGGGTAAGGGAGGTTTCCATAGGTAGTTCTCCCCGTGACACACAGGAAACTTGGGGATAGAGGGAGTTCTACCTTGGTAGTTTTCCCCGTTATAAAGGAGAAACAAGAGGATAGAG